CAACAAACAAGAATCCCAAAAATTTCAAAATAATATCACATTCAACAGAACACAAAACACAGAAAGGAAATCTGTAAAAAAATTAGCCAGAAATTTTCTCTCGTAAAAGTTACGTAGAACAGTGTCATCGATGAGGCTAATCCATTCACAGGGAACGCGAGAGTGGAGTAAACGTTTGCGGACGCGTCCGTGCGTCTCTGTTCCGTGGAGGTCCGAGGGAAGATCAATGGAAAACAGTTCGAATCGGCGAGACGCCGGCTAATTCTCTCAACTATGGAGAGAGACGGTCAGAATCGGAAAAGCGGCCGCGATCGTAACTCCGTGCAACCGTGACGGCCGACATTAATCGTTGCCACGTGCTACGTATTTGTCTTCGCCAGTTTCGGAACCGTGTCCCACGTACGTATGTACATACAGACACGCGTTCGTACGTTCGTACGGTTTCTCGGGCCGTTTAGGTGAAGAAATCTTAACGCTGTTCGATCGAAGTCTTATTTTCAACTGGACATCAAAAGACGTTTGTTAACCCTCGATATTTCTTCGTTCGCGAGAAGAAAAATTAAGATTCGTTACGATCCTACATTTAATAATTCAAGAAATAATAATTACTGTAAAGAAACATTTGCTGGCAATAATTTAACGGTGCAACAGTATAGCAATAAAAGAATTAAATGAGACTTATAAGAGACGTGACTTTCAAGTCACGTGGCTTATATAGGCTTGATTCTATGTATATACAGGGTGACTCACTTATACTGAACATTTTAATTATTTCTACTTGTTTTGAAAGTCAGAAAAACTGACTAAAAGAAGATTATACGGTTCAAAGACATTTTTGTGAAAATGGAAAAAGATCTCTATAACGTCATCTTCAATGAAGGTCATTCCAAGGTCACTGACATTCTGCTACTGTTTGTCATTTAAAGGTTATGTTGTCGTATGTCGTTGAACTCGTCTTGATGTCTACTATAACCCAACATTGTCAAAAACAGATGTTAATATGCACGCAAAATTCGATGACCTTGAAATGACATTCAAAATGACTTTAGAGAGAAAATTTTTTTTTTTAATTGCTTCCTGAAACCATGCAATCTCCTCTCAGCAATTCTTCCTTACTATCTCAATATCAGTGTAATAATAATTTAATATTCATTATAAATGAGACACCCTGTATATACATATATAAAATAGAACATTTAAATAATTTTCAGGATTGCAATTTCTTCCGGCTAAATATCTACAATAACACGTCCAAGATATTTTGTTCACACTTGTCGGAGAAATATCGAATTGCCTTCGTCGAAATTTCAACAATTTTTCTCAACAATTTCCGCGAAAGATCCGAAGAATGTCGGCGTTATATCTCTATCGTAGGAAGGTTGCGAGCTATTGTAAGCTGAAATCTTTAGAATGTTCCGGCGACAGTTCGGTGATAGTTCTTGCACGAGAAGGGTTTTAACGAGGTTTGTCCTTATCTGTGTTTGCTCGCCTAGCTTTTGGCTGTATAACTGGAGATCTCGAGAACTCCGGCTGTTTTCACCGAGGATTACGAAAACGTTCTTTCATGTACTTACACGTTTTCGACAGATTTCGAGACGCCATTTATAGCAATACCCCTCCGGCAACAATTTCACCGATATTTCCAAGGAAGAGAATTGAAAATGACGGTAGGACGTGCAAAGTCGTGGGAAATCTGCAACTGCAGGCCAGTTCTACGTTCGTCCATTTTTCCCATTTCCCCTCTATTTTACTTCGGAACACCCTTGTTTACACGACGAGAGCATCGATCGCAGGAAGATATCGTAAATCACCCACGATCCATATGCCACGGATCACTTCGATAACCTTCCCACAATTTCATTGTAATCCCGGTGAAATAATAGTGAACTCTGGGTTCCGTGTAATTTCTGCGGCCATTTTGACTAAAATCATCGCCATTCGGCTGTAATTCTAACCTATTAATAAACTTGTTCGATATGTGATATCGCAAGTGCAAAATTGTGTAATAAATTCAGTTATGAATTTTGGTATTTTTTTCTTCCCCTTTTTCCCTTATTTTTGTTCAATATTGAACGAAATTTCTTGGGTCGTGTATAGTACGAAAGACTTCAATATTTTTCCAATCAACTCACTATTTATCCAATTTTTGATTATTCAAATAAAATGTGGGGAAGATCCTCCATCATTCGATCGCATTTCTCGGAATATATTTCAACGAAATTTGCATATTTTGTGAGTATTAGGGCACTTAATGATTGCGAAGCAAAGAAAAATAGCCATTACAAAATTATTAAATTGAAAAGAAAATTATTCTGTCTGAAATTTCATTGAATAACAAACGTACATATATTTTGTGATATGTGGTACTAAATATGGTGAAGAAACGTCATTTAAGAGCATACTGGGTGTCCTAATACTCAAAAACAATATTTCCCTTCACACCAGTAATTCAAAGCAAACCCTAACAATTTTAAGGACCTTAAAAAGTTCCTAATAATTCAAGGAAATCAACGTAAATAAACCTACGAGGATTCAAACGCTTAATAATAAAAAAAAAATTCAAGGAAATCCTCAACATCCAGAAAAATAACTAAAATAAATATATCTAACATATTAATTTTAGAAATTTTTATAAATATACAGAGTCAAACAAACATCCGCAAAAAAGGAGTAAAATAAATGTATATCCACGTATTATTTCCAGAATTTTTGATAAATATCTAGAATAGCGATTTATCGTTCAAAGGATTAACTTAATCATTGACCTACATAATTTCTACTCACGTTAAATATATGTTTCCCGCTAATTCTTCATCAGAGCGCGATTAACAGCCAAAATATCTCTACATTATTCCACTATTTTAATATACAATATATTCAAGATAATTAAAAATGTAAATAAAAATAGTTGAAAAATATGAGAATAAAAATAGAGTAATTTAAATAAAAGTAAACGTAGTTTAAAGAGAACGTTAGAAATTAAAGGTTAATGTTCGGTCGCCCCATGAAAATTTGACCGGTGAATCGTTCGATTATGGCGTCGCGATCCACGGAAATTTTAACGAGCGTCCCACGCGGGAACGGTGTGCGCGATCTCGTCGCGCTGATAAGCGTGTTTTTCTACGTGGCGCGCGGCGGGCAGCTCGCGCGAGAACCGAATTCCCCGGAGAAATAAGGACAATATCGGTAGCTGGTGGGTAAACAGCGTTTCCTAGCGCCGCCGTGGCTATCAAACGCATGATTGAACGTAATAAAAGCGCGACAATAAACTCTTGCCGCCACTGTGTATTTCCACGTTTCGCAATTTTTTATTCTGTTTTCCACGTTTCGCGATTTTTTATTCTGTTTTCCACGTTCCACGAGCCCGACGCGTCGATCGTATCGCGCGACACGCGTGCAGCGAACGGAAATCGATGCTAAAGCGCGCAACGATGATGAATAGCATAAATAGATGAACCAGGAAAAAAAAAAAAGTCGTAAAAGTCACTAACGTATTCCGTGCCACGAGAAAATTAACAGGTTTTGTCGAAGGACGTTCAAAAGCAGGTTAAAAAGCCACGTTACAGTGTTGAACAGTATTACCGCTTGAACGTGTCGCAGAGCCGAAGAATATTTCGTTTCTATGAATGATCCACGCGGAGCGGAACGTGTTAAAATTACACGTAAAACGTGATACGTGGACCAATATTTAAATCGAGAATACGATTGGTAACACTGAATGACGATTCTCGTACAAGTGTAAGAATAACAGATGACATTATGCACAGTCACGTTTTGCATGCCATTTCCATGGGAAAAAACGTGCAAGCGTAGGCTTGTTTACCGCACAAGTACCGTGACGTTCAAGCAAGGTTTTCAAGTGAACGCTGAATGCAATCGTACAAGTAGGAAGCGTCACTGATTTGCGTCGTGTCCCCTGTTAATTGACTCGCACGATATCACTGTCGATTTCCATCGAACGGCGAGATATTTCGCGTTGTAAGACGGGTCCTGCTCCGTGCAAATTGCCGAGCGTTATAGTTTGACAGCTACGGTTGACAGATTTCAGCCGATGTCACGGAATCGGCGGGAATGGCCGTGAAACGAACGGCCGGCACGCGGCACGGGTCCATGAAACGTCACGTTTACTCACCAGGTGAAGCACGGTGTTGACAACCTCCTGATTCGACACCTGTCCCACTTCGATCAGTCCGATCAGCACGGCGAATTTCAGGCCGTCGTTCATCGCCATCGCCACCACCTCCTCGGGTCGTTTAATGTCACTGAACGGTGGACTCGTCATGTCCGCCATCGCGACGGTTTACCGAGCTGACAACACGTTTTCCTCGCGAGGAAAATCTACGATAGCTTGCACAAAGACCGTCTTATGAACGAGAGCTTTTCCCCGTCACATGATAATACAACACAAATTGATCTGCCATGTTAGAAAGTAGACACTGTTATGAGGGGCCTGCCAGCACGGCCACGCGAAACACCCTAGCGACGCGCTCGCAGTACCGGCACATACTGAGCCAGTAAATTCCTGCCGCTGCGAACATGCGCCATAATGGTGGGGGGGAATAGAGCGGGGTTTACGAACCGATTCGACGCGAACGCGAGATATCAGACGGATAAATATACCGCACGATGGTCTGTTTGTTCTGGTATTTTAACGACCAGGCTAATGAAACGTACGAAAACGGAGTGCAAATTTAAACACGTTATAATTATGAATTATTTTGGTTAGATTAATCGCAAATTGATACTCGTTAATATTCTACGTTATTTGTTTTGGCGCATGCATATATATATATGCAGAACTAGTAATGATGCTATTGATTATTCGCGATAATCTCTGTGAATCAATTAATGCTGATAAGATATACGAAACGTATGAATATTTATATTTCACGTTTATAGAATCACTTTCTATGCATAACAGAACAATAGCCAAGGGATGCCCGGTGTGTGTGTGTGTGTATATATATGTATAGATATATTCGGTTCAACTTTATCTTTAATGAATAAACATTGTAAATTACAATGAATTACGAGGCGTGTGTGTGTCCGGAACTACAGGGAACTACTGTATGAGTAACGCACGCGTCACTAGTAGTAAAAATGGCGTCGGCGGATGTTGAGCGTGCCAAGGTAGGTGTCATTTTTTAAATTTTTCACCCACATTACGTTACACTCGGCGATCCTTTCCATTGGAAAGTATCGTTCAAGAGTCCTCTTCTGTTTATGAACGTAAGTCCGATCCCTCCCGAGTGTACGTGTCATGTTTATTATCTGAAGGGCGTTGGTTCGCTATTCTGTCATAACAACAGTGCTCTTGATGAAGCGTTATCGTTCCATGTATGGAAGTACGGCTAATTTCCGGCTGTCCTAGTATAGTTAACACTCATGGATATTTCGTATTTTCAGTTGGAATCTACCATACGTAATTTAAAATTATCTGGTCATGTTGGATTTGACAGTCTTCCAGATCAATTAGTGAATAAATCCGTTCAAAATGGATTTGTATTCAATATTCTCTGTATTGGTAGGCAAAATATTTTAATACCTTTCAATGCATATGTTAAATATTTCCATAATTATTTATGTATGTGACATGTTTACAACAGGTGAAACTGGGCTCGGGAAGTCCACACTTATGGATTCCCTCTTTAATACAAGTTTTGAATCCACTGCAAGCCCACATAATCTTCCTTCTGTGAAGCTTAAAGCCCATACCTATGAGCTACAAGAGAGCAATGTTAGATTAAAGCTTACTATTGTTGATACAGTTGGTTATGGAGATCAAATTAATAAGGAAGATAGCTTTAAAGCTGTGGTTGATTACATAGATGCTCAATTTGAGGCATACTTGCAAGAGGAGCTAAAGATTAAGCGATCTCTGCCAACTTACCACGATAGTCGCATTCATGTTTGTCTATATTTTATTTGTCCAACAGGGCATGGGTAAATATATGATGAAAAATATTCATAAATTTATTTTTTGTACATTTCTTTGATTTTTTCAAGTGATTGAATGTATAATTACAGGTTAAAGTCAATAGATCTAGTCTGTATGAAAAAACTTGATACAAAAGTCAATATAATTCCAATTATTGCTAAAGCTGACACAATATCAAAGACAGAATTACAAAAGTTTAAGGTATGCCATAAAAAGTATTGTAAAATATAAATATTCTTGTATATCACATTCTTTATATCTAGTGTTTATTTCAGAGTAAGATTATATCCGAATTGCAAAATAATGGAGTACATATTTATCAATTTCCCATTGATGATGAAAGTGTAGCAGAAGTAAATACTAGTATGAATGCCCATGTACCTTTTGCAGTAGTTGGTAGTACAGACTTTGTTCGTGTCGGAAACAAAATGATGCGTTCTCGTCAATATCCATGGGGAACAGTGCAAGGTAAATTAAAAAATTGCATATTTAGTAAAATTGAAGGTTATAGAATATGTGTTAATCAATTTTCCTTACAGTGGAGAATGAATCTCATTGCGACTTCGTTAAGTTGCGTGAAATGCTAATAAGGACAAATATGGAAGACATGAGAGAAAAAACTCATTGTCGTCATTACGAATTGTACCGTAAAAAGCGACTGGAACAGGTAATTTACATAAAACGATCATTTTTTAAAGATTCCGTGTATAATTATTAACCAGGAGTGATTTTCAGATGGGATTCAGCGATGTTGATAGTGAAAATAAACCAGTTAGTTTCCAACAAACCTGTGAGGCAAAGAGATCCATCCACTTGCACGAACTCCAACAAAAGGAGGACGAAATGCGACAGATGTTCGTAGCACGAGTGAAGGAAAAAGAGGCTGAATTGAAGGAGGCAGAAAAAGAGGTAAACATGTTTTTTTTTTTGTAATTCTTGATACTTCGTTACTTTGTTTACATAACAATAACAATTCGGTTTGGTATGTGTTTTGCAGCTTCACAACAAATTTGAGAAGCAGAAAAAAGATCACGCAGAGGAGAAGAAAAAATTAGAAGAAAATAGAAAGAAACTCGAGGATGATATTCTAGAGCTGAATAGACGAAAAACTCAGTTCGCTCAACAACCACAACATCATACGTTAACACTAGGTAAAAGCAAAAAGAAATAGAAATGTCCGCCATTGATGCTCCAATTTGCAACAAATAAGTACGACGCCCCAATTTTCTATCTGTATACATACGAGTATTATTATTTTAATCACTTGATACTTGACCACTGAAAATTAAATTAAATTATCTAACGTTCCAAAGCGTTGTAACTTCTTATTGTATTCTTATGTAATTTCTTTTAATCGTAGGTTTTACTTGTATCAGACTGATTATTGTGACAAAAGTGATGTTTACCAAATTTAATTTACTTTTTGTATTAATTAACATGTGCACCTTAAGAAAAATAAAGATATATTTGTTACTTATAGATTTATCGGTTTTATGTTCATTTTAATCATTACAATTACTACACAGATTTATGAGAGATTCGTAATTAAATATTTTATTGTTCAACAAAATATAACAATTAACACAATAGTATCCTATCTAAATCAAATAAAACTAACGTTATTAGCGACATATATGCATTACATGAAATACACGAACTGATTACGAGCTAGTTTTACAAAAGCTTGTTTTGATTACTAACGTTAAGTAAAAACTAAAAGTAGGACATACGATATGATCGTATCACAACAAATCATGAGAAAATAAAGATCTCGATTACAATAATATCGAAGATGGCTATCGTGCGGCGGAATATTCATAATTCGATTCGTAAATAGTCGTAAATTTAATACTTTACTTCTCAACAAAAATCTTCTGTTGTTACACAGAATCACACAAATGAATTTACACGACAGCAACTTATATAAACACGAATACGTAATTTCGTTTCACGAAGAAAAAAAAAATCCTTTCTCAATACTCTGCATTGAATTAAGCAGGTACGTATAACTTAACCGAACTATAAACTTACGTATCAAGTAAGATGTTTACAATAATACAATATGGCGGAATTGTCTCATTCGCGCGTAGCAATGACACTAAACGTACTCTTGAAATAGATTTGCCTTGATTGCTAGGTCGCGAAGTTCATCGCATCATAATTTACAAATAAATACAATACGGCCCAATAGGAAATGAAATAATACATTACATACTACGCGTCGAAAAAAAAATAATTTACGAAACATAACGCTATGATACAAAATGAAAATTTAGACGAAGGAGGGGAAAGGTGTGGAAAAAGTCTAACAAAAAAGCCTTGAACGACAACGTTAATAGCCTCAACGTGCCGACATTACTCGTCGCGTATTTCTTTGCTTTGGTATTCCTTTGCACACTGTGCCCTTGCATTTCTGTAAACCGAATAAACACACGTCGCCTTGTAATCTCGATACAATATATACGCCATTGCGTTACTCCTTACCCTAAGTATTTATTATAAAAGTACAAAACATATATTATGGCAGTTATCGTGAAGCATTCTGCGTGGTTAGCCGATTTAATATGTATCGATTATGTGCCAAAGTGTAAGGATTAATCGTCAGGGTCGGCGGATATGACGCTATGCAGACCAGTATAAAAAAATTCATATTTTCTATTCAAAGATAAACATTTCGAACGCGAAATTCAATGATAGTCGTGCTAATTGCTCGACACTGTTCAACAATATATCAGATGTAAGATTGATTCATATAACCGACCCTGTTTGTTCGTTACAACCTATGTGACTTACAATTGCTTATCGCGAAAGATAATTAAGTGCACTACGAGATTTACCCTTGCAATGACCAAGAGTACGAGTAAGTTTATCAAGTATTATCATGTATAATTATCATGTATCCACCCTTTCTGATTGCTCACAAAATAGATCCATAACCCCAAAATCTTATAAAACGATTACCTATGCCGCATTTAAACGGTTGCATTTCTACAAAAAGACGGAGTCGTTCGATTGGAAAGCACAATTTCCTTGCGTAGCGCTACTTCAGCTGGACAAGCTCGATTCGAAAAACCATTTACCTGAGTCCTTAATTGCACTTTCTTCTAATTACACGCACGAGTCACAGAGCAGCTCGTTAGAATCGCAGCGGACGTTATCTTCGATGGGTAACCAACGGCATTCCAACGGGCCATTATCGCCCATTTCGTCACGCCGTTTATACGAACTTTGGTCATTGCGGTCTTACGTTCTACCTCTACCAGGTGCATTGCCCTCCCGTCTATTTCTGTTAGACAATTTCCAAATCAAGCGTCAATATGCCTGTCGTCCGTGGAATGCGTGACACTTAAAACATGTAAGGGGGCAGAAGGGGGGTCGAAACGAGTCGAATCGTTGTTACAAACTTACAAAAGAAGAGATTACTCGTAATAATAAACATAGGATGCATCTGTCGTACGTATGCGTATAGGTACATACTTCATAATGTAAACGCAATCACGTCGAGAACTAAGTGTATATAGATCTATACAATAATCGATTCGTCAGAAGTTCGTACAAGTGCGAGTCGGTAAGGAGGTAAATATCATTTAACGTGATACCAACCGAGTCTCCGTTTTTGGAGGGAAGGTGGCATATTAACACCGCTTGTTAGGACAGTGTACGGTATATTGCGTGAAACGTTAGTGCTCCCCAGCCGTACTACATGACATGTAAGAAAAAATAGTGCCATCCCCTGTATAATTTATGCATGTATATAAGACACAGGTGCACTCGGTACCAGTGAGAATATATATATAACCGTGTGTGATAGCGTAGGCGTAATGTGGAAACCCGGTTCGTTTTGACAATCGACGAACGGACACCTGAAATAACCATCGAATCCCTCAATATCGTCAACGCACCATTTACCAGTGGTTGGAAAGAAGGAAGATGCTTTTTTTTTCTTTTTTTTCTTTTTTTCTTTCTAAGAATCAGGTATGTACCAGCATGGTTACTACTCTCTGACAGCTTCTCGTGTTTTATACGAACCGGGCGAAAACACGGAATAAAAGAGATTGGCCAGCCTGTCGAACGATTTTATCCGCGCGTTCGTGTCTCTCTCTCTATATCTCTCATTTTCTCCCTTTACTTGTACGAAACGGACTATTGTAACAGCAGCATGAACCAGTGAAAAGTAGCGTGGAGTTTGTAAACAGGCACTGTGCTTATAGGCTAGCGGGCCGAGACGGATTCCGGCGGTGGACTACGATACTTGGCGCGGAGGGGAAGAAAGTTGGTGTGCTTGTTGCCGTGGGGAGAAGGCGGCGTGCTCTGGTTGAGGGTCCTCACCTGACAGGGGTCGTGCCTCGCCAAGAAATGCTCCAAGGTGTCCCAGCCACCGCCCACTCTGACCATCATGTGTCTCCCCTTCAAAAGCTGCGAACACGTCGGATAGAGCGTGGTCATTAGTGACTGGTGAAGCATTTTTGGCTGTACCCGACGAGTTAGACAAAAACACGAGAGGACTCTGGTTCGTTTGTAACCTCTTCTACGATTTTTTCATTATTACGTATCTACCGTATTCAACGATATTTGCTTTTTACAGGTTATGTGCTCGAAAATTTATGAACCGATACATTTGAAACTACTTTTTCCTGGGTGTTCGAAAAAGTGTCTAATTTTCATCAAAAATACAAATTTTTGGTATTTATACAGATTTGCATTTATATTTTTTTCCCATTGATAAAAAGTGAATCTTATGTCAAAACTAATCCCAAAAATTCACATCCAATTGTCTCTTACCAATACAATAAAAGAAAACTCTAGAAGTGCCTATTTTTCAAGTTTTCAGACAGAGGAATAAAGCAGAGGACCAATTACGAGAATAAAAAATTGACTGAGAACGAAAAAAGAATACGTACTCTGATGAAGACGTTTCTCCCGGCGATATGGTACCGGCCCTCGCCGACCTTGCGCACCTTCAGCTTAGAGCATCTCTCGGAGGGGCACTGGCAGAGTCTCTGCACAGCCTCTGTGGCTCTCCTCACCTAAAAAGAACGAGGGAGCCGCGCACGGTCGTGGTAAAAACGTTCCTGCCCATCGTAATATCGGGACGACGTATTTTTACGTGGAGGTTTCGCGTGACAGACGACGGTCAGGACGGACGAAGAGCGATCGGTTGTCATGGTGAGATAAATCGGTCTAACGTGTCGCGGAGAAAGTCGGTGCAAGGGCTCCTCTCTCGTAACATCCGCTTCGCGGCATGCAGGAATCCGACACGCGAGGATCCACGAGCGTGCAAACGCATACGTGAAAAAGCTTAAAGCGACCCGTTCGTCTCCATTGTTCCCTCTCTCTCTCTCGTTCACTC